AAATTCAATAAAAAACCCCCCCCCCTTGGTTTTTTTTTTTTTTTTTTTGTGAAAGTACGATTCTCTGCCTGAAACTGTTATTAGGCCCTAATGGGATCTGTTGGTAAATAAGGAAATTACATGATCGATCCTTGTTTTTGTGAAAGGAAAAAGAAGTCTCAGATAGGGCCTTCAGAGATGGAATAAATCTGGGAAGAGGAAGTAGAGAGTGTAACCTTGAGCATTATTAACTCATAGCTATACTTATGAGTGTGCAGAAAATAATATGAGCTTGCTGCAACTGCTTTCACTATGCTCCTCTTCAGAGCTGTGTGTAAATTATTACTTTTTTGGATGGTGAAGAGTGAATTTAACTACATTAGTCTAAAGTAGAAGTAATGTGGGCTGATCCACCATCAGGCTTTTTTTTCTGGTTTTCATCACCTCCTCTTCAGAATGATCAGTGCAGTGCCTAGCCTCATCATTTAATCATGTGACGTCTGTAAGTGTGTTTGCATGGTATAGGCATAGACTTATATTCAAAAGATATAGATATAATGGTCAATTTTCAGCACTGTTGTCATTCAAAAACGGAAACATTCGGAAACATTGTAATCAGAAAAAATGACTATGGTCGCCATCTTTATTTATTTGGTAGCTAACTAAAATTTTTTCCCCAGCAGCAAAATATGTTCAGGCACGATTTAATATACTGTAGCTGAAAAAGGTTGTGCAATATTTAAAATGACAACAAAGGAGTTTAAGGCTTACAGTTTAAGGAAAATGCATACAGTTTTTCTCTTTAGAGATGCACAATATGTTTTGACCTCAAGGTTAAATATGAATATTTACCAGCCTTTTTTGAGATAGCCTTTCTTTGGTTTAAAAGAGTACAAAGATATTTTATCGGTCATAACTTCTGGAGAAAAATACAGCAGACTCTGGACATAGATGAAGCTTTCTAGTGCGTATGTGTCAACTGCCTGCATTCGCACACAATATCAATGGAGTACTTTGAAAGGCTACGTGTTCGACTGTATGCATACGCAAGCGTATACGTACAAAAACAAAGTATACTTTGGGCTTTAGTGGTCACTTTACAGTCATTACAACTATGATGTAGTTTATTTTATAGTGTAACTTTTGCTTTTTACTTCTGGCAGTGGATTTTCTAAAGTAATTCAAAAGTAGTGGTCGACCGATATGGGATTTTTAATAGCCGATGCCGATATTGAGAAATCAATCTGGCCAATTGGCCGATATGAGGCCGATATAATACATGTAATTACAGTAAATGAGAGACATGCAGAAAATTGGTGAAACTAAATGAACATTTATTATGCATAAATATTTATTAAAACCTAAATTTAAAAAAATGTAAAAGATTGAGGTAACATTTAGTGCCTTTCCTTTTCTTTTGCTGAAACATGACTTGTACACAAAAAAAAAAAAATAACTGATTGCTGTTCAAAGAAACAAAACCAAATACCATAAATTGTTGGCATCCTTGAAAGTGGTTTCGCTCTTGTTTGAGTTTTCAATTTAATATATACAAAATGTGTTAGTTTTCACTGTTGCATTGTAGTTCCATGAATTATGTAACGTGTTCAGTAAATATCTTCATTACATGTATTTGTAGCAGATCTCCATTATGCTTAGACCTTGTGTGTTTCTGGTTCAGGAACCATTTCCATGTCAGTGTTTACAGATGGCACAGACCAAATTAGATTTTTATAAGCCGGTTTTATGATCGAGTCCCTATTGCCCAGGCAGTTGTTAGGTTTACAGGATTTATCTGTGTCTGCTCTGCAAGAATATCACTCTCCGTCTTCCAGTAAATTGTTTTATCCACACGCAAAGTGAACCACGACATATACAAAGTGTTCTTCCTCTCATTTACAGATTTATTTACTGCTATATGCAGGATAGTACAGTTTGTAGGCCTTCCCAAGGCATTAGAAATGCAGTGTTGTAATTTGAAAGTGCAGCTTAAACAAGCAGTTTTTTGTCTCTAATAGAAGCCTTAAACTATTTTTTTCCCCCTGTAATTATAATAGAAGTAGAAATGCAGTGGCAGATAAATGTCAGACTTTTTGGATAGTAAGTTACGTGTAGTATCGCTGTTTCACGATTACCTAGGAGTGAATAACAGGAGATCAAAAGAAGCAATAAGTGTGGTGGAAGAATCCAAACT